TGTTTTTTTTTTAAAGGAAACTACCCTTCTCCCATCTGAATCCTGAATCCCTGTGTGTAGCATGAGGCTATCCCATTCCAGGCTCTAGGAGCTGGCATTTAGCCTAGGCCTGGCCAATCTGCAGGTTCCTTTCTTGAGGAGGGTACCGTTCAGGGCTGTGACCTAAGCTGGGTCCCTGAGAGTCGGCCCTGGAGTCTTCGCTGGGGATATCAGGAAACAGGTCATCTTTATCTGCTGGCATGGCTGAGCCAGAAAGCATCAGCCTGGAGCTACAGGCAGACATTTTACCAGAAAGCCTGCCTGGAGCTGGGAGCCAGAGAAAGAAGAGGGGCCCAGGGACATGGGGAGAGATTCTCGCAGCTGCTGTGGATGTGCCTGGATTTAACTGCTCCTGAAGCCCATCTACCTCTGGACTTCTCTCTTTTTTGGCCTGAGACAGTGTGTGTTGTTTGCAGATGATTTCTGTCACTTTCCACCGAACATGTTCAGACTGATTTAACCCATGGGTAGAATTGGGCAGCCCCTCCGGCCTCTCAGAACCTCCGCCGCTGCCCTCGCCACTGTACAGAACGACATGCACCCAGGAATTGGTGGCCCGGCCCCCGCATTTTTAATGGCAACACACTTTTGCTCACCCCCGTCCTGCTTTTTGCAAACAGGATGTCGTATTCATTTCTACGTCCAGAGGACCTGTCAAAAAGAGGTGTTCAGTGAATAACTGAATGAATGAATGAATGAATGAATGAATGAATGAATGACTGTCTTCTGGTTGGTCATGAGACTTGAGTAGAACAAGAAAGGAGAGTTGTTTGATTGCAGGCTTACCTTCTAGGAGGCTCAAGTTACCCTGCAGACTTCTCTGAGCTGACAAAGGGTTATTATTTCTTAATCTCTCTTCAACCAGACCTTAGCAGGACCAGCCACACCCATGGAACACATCTCCTATTACAGAAAAACAAATCTGACCTGGCCAGTCCCCTGCTTGAAACAACTTCAGGGACTCGTTTGCAGGAGGGAGTGATGGGGAGTGAGCACTGGGCCCAGGGAACATTCTACGCTGTAGAACTTTCCATGTTTCTGACTGATTCATTCAGTAAGCATTTAATGAGCACATACTATGTGCTGGGCACTGGGCACGTTACTTCATCTTCCCAGCAAGCTCCTAGGACCGTGTATTTGTTTCCGTTGCTGTGTAACACATTACCCCAGAGTTAGGGGCTTAAAACATTTGTCATCTCACAGGATCCAGATGCAGCTCAGTGGGGTGCCTCTAGCCTCTAGGTCAAGGTTCCCCATGAGGCTGCAGGGCTGAGGTCACCCCAAGGCTGACCTGGGGTGACCTCAGGATCCAATGGGGCTGACGGGTCCATTTCTAAGCTCATTCAAATGGTTGCTGCGGGGCCTAGTCAGATTCCCCTGTAAGCTCACTCATGTGGACCTCCCCAGGGGGCTGCCTCCTAAGGCGGCAGCTGGCTGGCCCAGGGCGATGGGCCTGAGGGACAGCGAGAGTGTCCAAGACGGAAGTCGCGGTATTTTCATAGCATAGCCTTAGGAGCGACATGCCATTGCTTCTGCCCTCGTCTGTTCTGCAGAAGGGAGTTAGTCGGCCCAGCCTACACTCTCAGGAAGGGGATTACACAAGGGTATGAATACTGAGAGGTGGACTAACTGGGGTGGAGATTTTAGAGGCTACCTGCCACAGGTGAAGTATTATTATTCTGCACATCACACTCAGACACCCATCCGGTTAAGCAATGGGTGCAGGTCACCCAGGTGGGGGGACCGTCTGACTGAAGGGGTTTCCGTTTCACCAGACTAGTTGGGGGACAGAGGCCGTGTAAACTGCCTGCTGCCCCATGCAACCGATGGCCACAGTTTAGTGGCTGGACACCACCAGCACAGTCACCTCTCGTGGTTTCTAAGGGGCAGGTGTCCAGGACCAGCTGCTGGGCCTGTTCTTCACTGCAATGACCCTTCCGTAATGGTGCTGGGCATTTTTCTGACCCGGAAGCTGACTTCTCTTAGAACAAGTGAGTCAGGAGAGTTTAAGCAGAAGCCTTGAGGCCCTGTACGGCCCGACCTCAGGAGTCACACACTGTCATTTCTGCAATGTCCTGTTGGTCACCCAGGTCAGGCCTCTTCGCCGTGGGAGGGGATTGCACAAGGCCATGGGAATATCAGGAGGCTGGCGACCGCAGGGCGCCACAGGGTGAAGAATCCTAAAACTCAGCTGCTAGGAAGTCACTCCCCTGGGCCAAGAGATCCAGAGCTTTCCTACTCGCTCCTTAGCAATACCTCCCCTGTCATTCGAGCGGTGGGCTGGCAGCCGGGTGGTGTGCAGACCTCAGCAGTTCCCACGGAGATCCTCCCCGATGCACCCCGCGCCCACTGGCTCTGTGCTCTGGGGAGGCCAGCCTCCCTGGGAAGCCTCCATGCAGCCTTCATAGGAACTGCTCCCCTCCATGAGCAGGCTCTGCTTGGATGCTGGGGGACCACAGGGAACAAGCAGATGTCCATCCTCCCTGGAGAGTTTCCACTCAAGATGGGGAGGAAGGCACTAGCCAGTTACAGTAATCTAGTCACAAACCATAACAGGTTCTCCCAAGGAAAACTACAGGGTGCCATGGGGGCATATACCAGGGGACCCGGCCTGTGATGCATAAAGTCTTTGACCCGAGGCTGGGCACCCGCCTAGCACCTCGTTCAGGTGTAAGTGTCCAACGATCCAAAATAACAGTAGCTCAAAGACTATACTTTCAGAGATCATTTCTATAGTCTGTCACAAAATAACAGTAGCTCAGACAAGATTGACGTTTATTTTTCTCTCGCCTAGATGTCTGGGTAGGTGTGTGAGGACAGGTACTGTGCCACTCAGTGACAGGGACCCAGGCTCCTCTATCTTGTTGCCTTGCACTGCGTGGTCCAGGACGGTGACATCCACTTTCTGGGCGTCCAGATGGAGAAAGGGACACAGAGAGTAATGTATACCAACTCTCCCCGAAGCTGCCACATGCCGCTGCCCCTTCCGCATCAATGGCCGGAACTTAGTCACATGGCCACACCTAGCTGCAAGGGAAGCTGGGAATGAAACTTTCATCCTGAGCACCCATATCCCCAGCCAGAAATTGGGAGCTCCATCATCATACAAAAATAGCAACTATAGTCAACTCTATCTTTCATTCTCACTGTGCCAGGGACAGACCTAAGCCCTTGACATCCATCAACACATTTCATCCTCATAACAGATCTGTGAAGAAGGCACTGGCATTGCCTCCATTTTCCAGAAGAGAAGACTGAGGGACAGAGGTAACATAAGTTAGTTAGCAGACAAGGTGGCCCATGAAGCCATGCAGTTTGGCTCCATTCTGGGCTCTGTTTACAGTTCACAGGTATGAAGAGAGGGTGAGCGGCTATTGGGAGACACGTGTGTTCTCTGCCCACACCGCACCATGGAGGTGAGAGAGGAATGTATCCCAGGGAAAAGGAACAGGAGGTTCAAAAGCTCCCCCATGGACCCCACCTCCAGGAGTCAGGTCCTCTATCACAATGCCTCTCAAACTTAAACGTGCCAATGAATCTCTTGGAGATTATGCAAAATACACACTTGATTCTATAGATCTGGACTGGGGCTGAGAACCTGCCCACGATGCCCTAACCACTGGCCTGTGGACCACCTTTTGAGGAGGAAGACTGTGGTCAAAGGCCTGCTGCTGAAGGACTCCTTCCCACGCAGGGCCAACAAAGAGTCCACTGGGCCCAGCCCTCAGGTTTCCAGTTCAGGCTGAGACTTATTCCTCTCTCCCAAGAGTACCAAGTCCCTTATTGAATGAATGAGTGAACAAATGAACAAATGAATGAACAGAAAATGCCAGAGATCAGAGGGAAGGAGAGGCAACTGATCAGGCCGTGTGTGGTTCCATGGGGAAGAGTTTGGCTCAGGGTTCCCCCTACAGCAGCACCCCCATACTGAGGCTGTGCATTCCAAATCCTCCCAGAGGCCAGGTATCACCACCACCCTCTATTTATAGACAAACTAACTACCCGCGGGCCCCTCTTTTAGAACAGGAGCCTCTGCCTTCCTCCCCTGGGGTTTTTCAAGCCCTGAGACCTGGAGACACCACAGCCTTGATGGGGGGCGGAGGGCAGAAATGGGGAAGTTCAGAATGAGTGTCCTCTACAGGGGGTCTTAGGTTATCTCAGCTGCCATCTTCCCTAGTCCAGGGAGATGCCCGCTACCTGTGACTTTCACAGAGGGGAATGGAGGTGGCTGTCCGCCTCTGAGACAGCTGGCGTGTCCTGAGTGCCCTTGGAAGGTGAGAGCAGAGGCGGCCACCGGGCCGACCGCAGCGACTCCAGGGGCCTGAGCCCTCCGTGCCAGAGACTGCACCAAACCAACTTTCTCATTTGATCCCTAGGGAAACAGCCCTGGAATAAGTTTCCCGGCTCTCTCAGTACACATCCGGGACGGAGGTGGGGTGGGGTGGGGGGACTCTATGGAGAAGCCAAGGGTCTTCCCCCCCACCCCACCCAGAGGTGCAGCCGGGAAGTGTCTTTTTGTCAAACTGTGCACCCTACAAACCAGGACTGCCTGCTCACCCTTCTCACCCAGTAGCTGGCCCTTACTGCCAGCTCGACGCTGGGCACTGCCCAAATCCGGACCCTTCCATTTACTGGTCACAACTCAAGGAATCTGTTTTACAAATGCAACGAACAGAGGCTCAGAGAGACAGCAGGGCTGCCCCGACGCCACAGAGAGATGGAGAGAGGGAGAGGGCGAAGGAACACAGAGCGCGGGGCTTGGCAGAGACTAGGTTGTCCCCAGGGGATCCCTTCCCCTCCCGGAGCCTAGACCTCCCAAGGCCCTCCCCTCCCCCTCCAGGCCCGCGGGCCCCTTAAACCAGGCGGCGGAAGGGGCGTCCGGGCCGGCGGCGCCCAATGGGCTGCGCGGAGCGTCACTTCCCGGTGGCGGGTGGCGGGCGGCGAGCGGCTAGCGGCGGGTGTCTGGGCGGGGGGCGCCCGGCGGGGGCGGGGCCGCCGGAGGAGGCGTTGGCAGCCGGCTGGGACCCACGCGGCGCCGCGGCCCGCCTGGCCTGCAGGCTCCTACCCCTCAGCGGCGGCGGCACGATGCCCTTTGACTTCAGGAGGTGAGTGTGGCGACCCCGGCCACCGGGATGCCCCGTCCGTCCGCAGGCGCCGGGGGTGCCGGGGCACGCTGCGGGTTCCTCTTGCTTGGCATGCACTGGGGGACCCCCCCTGCCCCCTGCATGCCTCTGCAGGCCCTCAGGGTCCCCAGGCCGGCCGCCAGCCACACACAAAGCAAGCCCGGGCCGCGGAAGGCTCCCTCGTGCAGCCCAACCTCCTCGGGCCAAACCACCCACCTCGGGCCAAACCACCCACCTCGGGCCAGCCATCCCTCCGCTCCGCGGAACCCCTCCCCAGCCTGCCTGTCCCCCTGCAGCAGGTCCTCACACTGCACAGGCCCGCGTCGCCCTCCCCCCATCCTGGGACACAGATTTGCTCCCTCCTCCAGCTGGGAGCCCGGTGGCCATCCCTTTCCTGCCCTCTGCAGAGCCTCCTTTCGGGGACCCCACCCAACTGACAGGTGCGTCCTGGGCACCTTGAATAAGCCCCCAGGGATCCCTAGGGTCTGCAGCCCGTCCTGCCAGCGGGGCAGCTGGAGGGGTTTGGGTTACCCCAGGCTCCTGCTGCCCCGGCTAGGCAGGCAGAACAGGAGGCCTGTCCCCCTGGCCAGCCCTGGTCCTGGGCTCTGGGTATGGGGGCGCCATGGCGAGGGGAGAGGCCAAGGAGCCTGGAGCAGTGCTGTGCAAGGGGCCCAAGGGTCTGGCCTTGGCTTTCTCCAGTCACCACAATGGGTCCATTGTGGGTCCGGCCGCCTCATGGTCCACATTGTACTGGGCTAGGCCTTCTGGAAGCCTGCCTGGGAAGGGGTCTCCGCCAGACTAGCCCTTGGGACATGAAGCCCCAGGGATGCCGTGGCCTGAGGCAGCCACACCATGGGTTGTGTGTTCAGGAAAACAGACCCGTTAGTGTGGGCGGGAGCTGAGTTGGAATCTAGGCTCTGCCCCGTCCACTGAGCAGCGGGCTATGTTCTGGAAGTCAGGGAGAAGGTTCTGCCTGCAGACTGCCCCTCGTCGCTCGGCTGGGTGACCTGAGAACGGGTCCCCCAGAATCTCATGTCACCGCCTGCGGGTGGGAGCTAACCACCAAGTCCCACCTGTGAGGGCTGAGCGCAGGTTTAGAAGTAGGAGTTAGTGGGTGAGAAGCTTCTCCATGAGGCCATTTCCTTGTCTGCAAAACCAGGGTTCCGGGCCCACCTCCCAGGAGGGGACTCTCCCTCCCTGAGTGTTGTCCCTCCCTCCATCAGGGTACAGTGACAGCCCTCTCTGGAAGAAAAGCCTGGCAGTGCCCCCCATGGTGGTGGGCACGGTGGGGGTCAGGCCCGGAGAGGGTGTTGGCCTGGGACCTCTCGCATGGGCTGACGGGGTGCTCCAGCCTGTCTTGGGCACTGGTGCCACCTCGCAGGCATCTGCCAGCGGCCTGGACCAGGTCTCTGACAATCGCTCGCAGACACGGGGCTGTTCTGGACAAGGAAACTCCTCTGATGGAATTCGAGGGCCAGTCTTCCTCCTGACATTAACATTTCGGCTATTAGAGCTGCGGTTGGCACCTGGGTTCCTGGCTGCACAGAGCTTCCCCTCTTCCAGGTGATAGTTCCAGCCCCTTCTCCATCCCCATGTGACTCAACCATTTTTGACCTTGGGGGAATCCCTGCTTCTACTCATTGCATCCCTTGCCTCTGTACCTAATCCCCTCGTTTTAAGAGGCTGAGCCTCTTGCCCTGGACCTCACAGGGGCTAGGTTGAAGGGTGGGCCAGGGCCCTGGTCACGCACAGTTCCCGGCCTGGCAGCCCCTGAGTGGGAGGTTTGGAGTGTTCAGGGCCGTGGGGGCCCCAGCTTCACTTTAATCAGTCCCTGGAGGGCGTGGGCTCACCACCTGCCCGGAAATGCGGATTCCACACTTTCCATTCCCACCTTGGAGGATGAGCCCTTGGTGTCCGGAAACCTGCACTTTGCAGAGATCTGTGAACTCCAGGGCTCAGGTTCTAAGGGAGGCTCCACTGCCCCAGACACCGTCCCCTTCGTCAGCGTGGAGTCACCAGATGTTTACCTTGCTCAGCCCTCTGTCCTGTGCCCCACAGAGCGAGCCGAGCTGGAGGATGTGTGGCCCTGCCTGGCAGCACTGGAGGGGAGAAGGGAGGCGGGCATAGGGCATTCACCCATGTCACCTGTGAGAGGCAGTTTTACTCTCATTTTAAGTCAGAGGATGGGGAGACTGTCTGGCCAGGGCCATGGCAAGGTGGTGTAGCCGCGGTTCGAATTTGGGGCCATGAGCTCCAAAGCTTTCGCTCTGGGAGAAAGGGGAGGGTGTGGAGGGTTGAGAACCGTGGGGAATGATCGGACCCCTCCCCCACCTCAGGGCCTGGGAGTGAGCCAGGCTGCCTGCTCTCTGTTTGCTCTCCCTAAAACCAAACCAGGAGGATTTTGCCCTTTCTTATCAATACTGCTTGTTTTCCTACAGTCCAGGGGGCCTTGTGCAGCCGGCCTCCGGCGCCTTTTCCTGTCCATAGTTTGGGGGTGAGAGAGTGGGGAGGGCTCGTTGGGGGTCCTACATGGGGTGACAAGTGTGCGGCATTTAGACACAGGAGGCCCCCGACGCACTGTGGCCCCTGTTGGCATTATTTGAGTTTTTCCACCGAAGCACCTGCTCTAACACGGCACAACTCACCTGATTTATTATGCTTGTCCTCTTTCTCCATCACATTAAAACGCAAAAGCTCCCCAGGCCAAAGATTTTTATCTGTTTGATTCATTGGTGACTCCCAGGACCCGGCCTGGGCCGCACGGGCTCCTTAGACGTACCTGGCAGGTTTTCAGCTATTGGTGATTTTTTTTCTTTTCCCCTCCTTGCCTTGAATTGGTTCTGAATGGCTGGGAGTAGGGGAGGAGGCAGGGTCCAGAGGAAGGAGCCTGGGCCTTCAAAGATGGCTTGTGTTTGCTTTGCTTCTGTTGCATTGTTTCATCAATCACTGAACCCTGTGGTCATGGAACTGGGCTCACAACCCAGATCCGGGGGCGTTGGCCCAGACCGGATTCAGTTGCTGGTGGCAGGGGCCAAGTACCACCTGCTGTGTCCTGCTCAGTCCGGGGTAGTGGCAGGGCAGTTCTTGTAGCCCGGGCTGGGTGGGGTGGTGGCGGCGGGGGGGCGGAGCTTCAGCACTGCTTTCAGGGGGCATAGGGGCCCAGCTTGCCCACAGTGGGGGCCCCTGAATTGAAACCCCAAGACCCAGGGTGTGCCACTACCCTGCACTGACCAGCTCTGTGTCCTTGCCTGACAGTTTGACTTGCCTCCTTGGAGCCTCAGTTTCTTCATTTGAAAGGGGATCGGCACCTTCTCTGACTCACCAGGAAGGGTAGACCGGGCATGTGAGATGTCCCCACAAGGTAGGGCTGCTACGTAACTTGTGGCGCCGAGTGCACAATAAAAATTCAGAACCCCCTCGTTGGAAAGACGTCAAGAATTTGAGGACTGTGACAGCACAGCATTAAGCTAAGCACGAACCCTCCTGAGCGTGGGGCCCTGGGTGACCGCAGAGGTCCCACACCCGAATCATCAGCCTTGTGCTGTGCCCAGCACTCGGCCCTTCCAAGCTGCCTTCCCTCCAGGAGACCCCAGCCCTCCAGCCCCAGAGAGACCCCTTGAACGAGTTTTCCAAAACGGACCGATTTGTGCATTTCCTGATTTCAGCCTTCAAGCGGGGCCCGTTGCTCTGAGGGTTTAGTATGAATTCCTTAGCTCCCTCTGTGGACTCGCCGGAGGGGCCCCCTGCAGACCCTCGTGGGCCCCCCTCACTCCCCACAGCCAGCTGAGCCCTAGCCACTACGCAGGGTCGTGAGCGCAGAGGGCACACTCCGCAGGTTGTGGCTGACATGAGTCCCTGTTTGTCTGCCCCGTCTCGTTCCAGAAGCAACTTGGGGAAGTGGACGGGAACACAAACTGTACGAGTTTTTAAAATTTTAAATAAACAGGAAAAATCTAATCTAAGAAAGATTTGACGGAAGGAAAAATTATATGAAAATCAAGCCAGTGTTTCGAGTTGGTTGAGCACTTACTGGGACCAGACCTGTTGCAAGAATCTCATGTTTATTGACTCATTTAATCCCCCAAGAGCCTCCTTAGGCAGACACCCCCCCCCCCGTTGCCCCCCTTTGAAGGTGAGCACGTGGAGGTGCAGAGTGAGGGTCACGGGGGGTGGGCAGGAGGCGCTGGGCCTGGAGCACTGCCGTCTGGCCCCTGGTCTCGACTCTGAAGCCTTTCCCCCTCGGCTCACCAAGTTGAGAGACATGGAAACCTCCTCTAATTGGATTCATCGACTTTATTCTTGTCACTAATCCTTTCCTAACGGTGTTCATTAAGAAGCTTAAAGTCGCCCATCTTTCTTTTTTTTTAACACCAGCCTCAGGTGGCCTGACACCCAATTCTGAAATTGCCTTTAAAGACCCCCCCTGTTTCGGCCTCACACTGGCTTAGGGCCTCTCACCCTGGACAGTCCAGGCTCCCCTCCTCGGCCACCGAGGCCTTAGAGCGGACAGCGAGTGTTTACCTGCTCGTCTGGGCACAGGAATCGGAAGCCGTCCTCCCTGGGCGCTCTGGGCTCCTGGCGGTGATGCCACAGCATCTGAAGCCAGGGCTGGAGCCAGCTGTGACCTCGAGAGTTCCAGTCCCCATCTGGCGATCCTTTCATCCTTTAGTTTGGAGCTGCTGCGGGCAGTTGGCCTTGACTGGCAGGCACGCAGGGTGTGAGCAGGATGTGTGAGGTGAGGCTTACCAGCTACCTCTGCACCAGCGAACCTCAGCTCTAGGTTACCGTCACTCGGGGCCCCCAAACTAGGCTGCACCCCAGACCCCACAGTCAGGCTCTGGCGAGGGAGGGAGGCAGGTGTCAGAGAGTGGGGAAGGGAGGGAGTAAGAGAAGGAGAGAAACACTGATCGGTTGCCCCTCACACACGCCCCAACTGGGCACTGAACCCACAACACAGGCATGGGCTCTGACCGGGCATCGAA